TGGGTGGCCGCAGCCTCCCTGCCCGCTGGCCCCGCTCGGGCTCGGAGCAGCGGGAGCTGCAGCACAAAAATCACCTCGAGCCAAGGTGTGCGCTAGAGCGGGGACGGGTGACCTCTAGCTCAAAGCCAGCCCCTTGTGCAGTGGTGGCCGAGCCCATGGGGTTGGTATTTGCCACCCTTGGCCTCACCAAGAGCAGCCTGCGACGCTCCGCGTTTGCTCTTTGCACCCTCATCCTCACCAAGAGCAGCCTGTGATGCTCCAGGTTTGCTCTTTGCACCCTCGGCCTCACCAAGAGCAGCCCGTGATGCTCCAGGTTTGCTCTTTGCACCCTCATCCTCACCAAGAGCAGCCTGTGATGCTCCAGGCTCATTTGCAGCCTGTGGATCGCTCGTCCTGCTGCCCCTAGCAATGGGAAAGTCGCTCCCTGAGGCTTTTGGTGCGTTTGGCTCTCCAGGGAGCTTCCTGCAGGGCTGCAAACGCTCCGTCTCACCACGTTTCTGTCCCCGCTCGGCAGGTCCGGGGAGGCAGCGGCTCATCTACCTTTGCATTGACATCTGCTTCCCAAGCAACATCTGCGTCTCCATCTGCTTCTATTACCTCCCCGAGTAATCCCGCAGCCGCGGGCATCCCCGCGCCGCTCCGCGCGCTCCAACCGGGCTCCCAAAAAGCCCCGCTCCAACGAGGAAGGTAACGTCTACGCCACCCCCTAGGCCCTTCCCGCTCGTTTCATAGGGATTTAGGAAAGCAGCAGGACTCTGCTCAGCTTGTGGGGCCGCACTTTATTCGCAGCTGTGCCAGGGCGGCGGGTGCGTAGGTAGCAGTAGCTGTAGGCGCATCGGGGCGGCTGGTGCCATCCGGCACCGCGAGGTCGGCCAGGGCTGCTGATCCAAGCAGTGCCGTTCCCGGAGCAAGTCCGACCCACACCCCGAATAAAGGGATTGCAAGCCAAGAACCCTGCTGCCCTTGCTCTTGCTTTGTTCGGCCCCCGCGCCACGCAGAAAGGCTGATGTTTCTCAGCATGGGGTATAAGAACAGCGTGGAGCTGTCCCCAGTGACCCCCACCGCGGGCTCGTGCCCCTCAGGCCCTTCCCTTTGGTCCACGTGGTGTCCCTCAGAGGTCCAACGCCTCCCGGCTGCAATGGGCTCGGAGCAAAGAGCTCGGAGCGAAGAACTCGGAGCAAAGAGCTTGGAGCTGGTCTTGCTCGAGGCAGAGGCTGCCCCTGCCAGGGACCGAGCTGTCCCCATGAGCAGGAGGGGATGGAGCTGTCCCCATGAGCAGGAGGGGACGTCACAGCGTTCGGCTCGGGGGTTCCGGGGTGCCTGTCACCGTGGGCCGGGCCCCGAGCAGGGGCCGTCGCTCCGCACGCGGCCGTTATCCCAGCACGCTGTCGTTGAACGCCAGGCAGACAACCGCCTTCTGGTGGCCGCTGTATTCCCTCTTGATCTCTCCCGTCTCCACACACCACAGCCTGGCCAGGTTATCCGAGGAAGCTGGAGAACACAGAGAAAAGAGGAGCAGAACAGATACGTTATGACACCTCTCTTTCAACCCCTCTTAATTGCAAGCAAGGCTGTCCTCTTGCTTCACTCCACACCGTTATTACAGCTGCTGATGACAGACAAAGACCCACATGCAGCAAGGAGCTGCTGTTTTAGGTGGTCTGGAGAAAACGGAGTGTGGGGGTAGCACTGTCACATTGCAAACAGCATTGCTACCAGGTGAAATCAACAGTGCACGGGAGGATCAGCTCAGTGAATTAAACAGGAGGCAAGAGATGCCCTGTTATGGCACGAGCAAAACGTTTCAGGGCGTGCGAGGCCTGGTGCGAGGCCGGGCACTGCAACGCAGGGGGTTTCTCCCCTGTGTGGAGGTGCTAGAGGCTGCCGAGGAAGCATCGGGTCCCAGCAGCAACCGCACAAACCCTGCACCAACACAGGGCCCCCGTGTGCGGTCCCTACCCGTGACGATGTACTGCGAGTCCCCGGAGAAGGCGCAGTCCCACATCCAGCCTCGGGACGTCTCCCCGGGGTTGTTGCTCTTGATGCTCAGCTCTGTCATCAGGGAGAAGTTTGAGGTCCTCCAGATCTTGCAGGTCTGATCCGCAGAACATGTAGCCAAGAGCCTGCAAGGGGGAGATGCGCACAAGCAGCCTCGTTATTCATTCTCATGCCTGGAAGGCTCCCGTTAACGCGGGCCTGGAGCAGTGATGAACTGCAGACCTGCGCTCTTCATAATCACATTCCTTTGCCCTGTTACCATCTGCCTTATGCAATCAAGCCAGGCAGATATGGTGAGGGAGCGGGCAGACCCATCCCCATTCAGGGCCACAAAACCTGCCGGGGATGCAGGGATCCCCCCGGGCGCTCACGTGGAGTCGGGGCTGAACTTGCACTGCAGCGCGTAGCGGTTGTGCGCCGGGATCTTGGTCTTGGGGATGAGCTGGGTCCCTTCCTCGCCGATGCCGCCCGTCAG